GCTCTTATTTAAGGCCATCTAATCTTCATTAAGATTACTTATGACATTTTAACAGGATAGACCAAAGACTGAAGTTGGTAAACTGTTGGTTGCCATGCATGGTAGTGGATATCCACAACTGCATAGTGAATAATCTCCTAGTATTTGAGAGCAATTCCTGAGAATAAATAAAAAGTAAATATATAAATAAACGAAAGTTTGCTGAGGGGAATAACTAAATTTTGTTAGATACAACATTTTGTGAAATATGTCAAGTACCACATAACCCTTCCAAGATAATGTAATGCATATAGGAAAAAGATTTAGGCTTTTTGAATACTTCAAAATTATAGCACTATGACAATAATAATGATTTTCTTGTGGAATACTCAAATGGTCGTTTGCCAATTTTCTCTGTTTCTAATGATACATTCATTTAGAATATTATATCAGGAATTATATATGACATCATTTCTTCTCTGAGACTAATCTCTAAATACTTTTGCTTCCTGGGATAATCCTTCATCATTTACAATTCAATTATACTAGACTTTGATTCAAATAGTCAAAAAAAAAAAAAGAAAAAAAGAAAAGTTGGAGGATTACACAGTGTGTATGTAGTTCTTTATGATGAGTCATTGTAGAAAAGAATGAACCATCTGAGCATTACGGTCCATATTTCCAACCTCTCGTTCCGTTACGTATTGGATGTGAAAGTGTCACGGTTTATTATGGTATTTATACACTTGCTTTTGCTCCTTTCACCAGATACGTTTGCGCTTGCCTGCCTCTGTGATTAGCTTTGAGTAAAGCTATTTTTCTGTTCTTGAAGTTATTTTTCTATTTTTGTATGATACAGAAATGAAAATTTGTTTTTGAGTTCTCTCACTTCAGTGGGCACTGAAGTTGTGATAACGTGTGATTGAGATTGTGCTAAATCAATTTTGATGATGACGATCAGAGGATTCATGACAATTAACTTATCTAAAAAGGGTTCCACCAGAAAAAATGAATGGATGTCTGATGTCATTGACATAACATATCCTGGGTACTGTCACCCCAGCTCCATTTCATTCATTTATTTATTCAATTATCTTTTACTGAACACAGGTATATCTCATTTTATTGTGCTTCACAGATAATGAGTTTTTTACAAACTTAAAGTTTGTGGTAAGCCTGCTACTTTTTCAATAGTATGTGCTTTGTGTCTCTGTGTCACATTTTGGTAATTATCTCAATACTTCAATTTTATTATTATTATATCTTTTATGATGATCTGTGATCAGTGATCTTTGATATTATTATTGTAATTGTTTGGGGGCATCACAAACAGTTCCCATATGAGAGCAAGCTTAATAAATGTTGTGTGTGTTCTGATGGCCATTCCCTATCACTCTCCCTCTCCTTGGGCCTCCTTAATCCCTGAGATGCAATATTAACATTAGGCCAATTAAACCTACAATAGCCTCTAAGTGTTGTAGTAAAAGAAAGAGTTGCACGTCTCACTTTAAATCAAAAGCTGGAAATGATTAAGCATAGTGAGGAAGGCATGCTAAAAGCTGAGACAGGCCAAGAGCTAGACCTCTTGCACCAGTCAGCCAAGTTGTGAATTCAGAAGAAAAGTTCTTAAAGGAAATGAAAAGTGCTACTCTACTGAACACACAAATGCCAAGAAAGCAAAGCCTTATTGTTGATATGGAGAAAGTTTTCGTGGTCTGGATAGATCAAACCAGCCACAACATTTCTTTATACCAAAGCCTAATTCAAAGCAAAGCCTTTACTCTCTTCAGTTCTAAGAAGGCTGAGAGAAGTGAGGAAACTGCAGAGGAAATGTTTAAAGCTAGCAGAGAGGTTGGTTCATGAGGTTTAAGGAAAGAAGCTGCTCACCATAACATAAAAGTGCAAAATGAAGCAGCAAGTGCTGGTATAGAAACTGAAGCAAGTTACACAGAAGATCTAGCTAAGATCATTGATGAAGGTGGCTACACTAAACAACAGATTTTCAATGTAGATGAAACAGCCTTCTACTGGAAGAAGATGTCATCTGGGACTTCCAACAGCTAGAGAAGAGAAGTCAATGCCTGGCTTCAAAGCTTCAAAGGATAGGCTGACTCTCTTGTTAGAGGTCAATGCAGCTTAGGTTGAAGCCAATGCTCATTTACCATTCTGAAAATCCTAGGGCCCTTCAGATTTATGCTAAGTCCACTCTTCCCATGCTCTATAAATGGCACAACAAAGATTAGATGACAGCTCATCTGTTTACAACACGGTTTGCTGAATATTTTAAGCCCACTGTTGATACCTACTGCTCAGAAAAAAAGATTTTTTTTACAATACTACTGCTCCTTGACAAGGCACCTAGTCACCCAAGAGCTTTGATGCAGATGTACAAGGAGATTAATGTTTGCATGCCTGCTAACACAACATCCATTTTGTAGCCCATGAATCAAGGAACAATTATAACTTTCCAGTCTTTGCAGTGGTCTGGAAACTACAATCTCTCTGAGGTATGCCTGTGTTTCCTACCTGCAAGATTCTGCTAGTCAAGATTCTGTTTTGTCCATCGAGAGTACAACGATGATGAACAAACAAATAAAAACAGTACTTAATAAAAATATTACTTTCAATTAAATATTAAAAACAGAGCTCATAATTAAAAAGATATAAATATGTATGATGCTAGCATTGTGTACGGAACAATCAACTCTATTGACTGTGGAGTCTATTTCAAATGGGTGAGAGAAGAAATCAGATCACTGTGAACTTGGAAGGGTAGGAGAAATATGACATTTCTTCCAGAGGTCCTAGGCTGTCTATGAGCTCAATTCTACATAGCGTGTTCAAGGAAGTGGGAGGAGGTAGCGTGGATGGAGTGTATGGGGCGAAATGTGCGTGTTGGGGAGTGAAGGGGGCTGGAGGGGGACAGACTTAGACTGTAAATGGTCTTTACAATTATATGAAGGGGCCTTCAGTGGGAAGGGGGATTGTTTAAGATTTTAAATGAGTGTCTCATTTAGAAACATGTCAGCTACAAGTAGTAGAAATTGTAATTCAAAATGGATTAATCAGTAAGAAATTTTATTGGCTTATATAAACCAAAGTCCAGAAGTGGGATGGCCCAGGCTTTGTTCACCTGCATTTCTCGGGGTTCTGGCTTCTTCCATTTGAAGATTTAACTTTCACATCATATGCAAGATGGATGCAGGATTCCACAGTGACACAGTCCAGAGGTAGAGAGAGTTGCTTCAAGAAACTGCACAGGAAGAACTTTCCCAGAAACACCGCTCCACATCACACCTTGTTTCTCATTGGTTTTTGTGAGATCACATGCTCATTACTGAACCAATCCCTTGCAGTAGTGATTGGGGTGCTGTAGACTAACTAGACGGATTCAATTCTGAAACTGGGGCACAGTCATGTTCATTTACAAGACCACATGTAGATGAAGAGGGATACACAAACATAATCTGATTATCCTAGGAAGAAGAGAGGAGAAAAACAACTGTGAGGGCAATGAACAATGATTTACACACATCCACTTACATATTTTTATTCCCACTTATACATCTGAAAATGTAGGTGATTGCACTCTTCTTAATAGGAGAATGTAATGGACTGTCTAGTTATGACATCCAGTTCCAAGCCCAGAATATCAAGATGGAAAGTCTTCCCTCTCAGTCCAGATCACCTACTCATGATACTGCCATGTTTTAAGTAGTTCTCAGGTGACTTCCACCATGAAAAGAGATGACCTTATAGTGACCAAAGAGAAGGAGGAGAGAGTTAAGCATCAATATAAGAAATAACTTTTAGAAAGAAATTATATTCCATTTATAATAATAGAATGCATACATACTTAATTGCATCCATGCCTATAATGTTTATTTCATTACACCAGCTACTGCAACCCATTGAAATCATGACCTTAGAATTCCACTGTAGATGGTATATGTCTGGGAAGGAAGATCACAAGAAGGATTTTGACAGTTCTCTCATCAAAAGCAGTCAGGGAGTGCTTGCTAAAGCGTCACTGCTGTCTCTCCAACTATCCTTCTTGGACCAGAACCATTAGTAGATTAACCAAAGTGAAATGCCTTGATTAGGCTGAAATGACTGTGGATACAAGAGTAGAGGGTAATTTCTCGTCCAAGCTCTGATTCTGCTCGGCTGAAATCCCCAGGCACTAACTCTGCGTTGTCAGAAAACTTTGCCTCTTAGAGAAACGACTCCTACTCCTCAAATTAAATATTTCATTCTTAGACAAAGAATAGTAGATTTGGAAATCCCCACAAACAACTTAAAAAGAAAGACTTGTGATCTGATATCAGATTAAACGAGTTTATTTGAAGAGAAAAAAATCACCTCTTGCTCCATTTTTAACCAGAAAAATAAGGGGAAAAGCACAAGAAAACAGAAAGAAAAAGAGATGGATATTTTATGAGACAAATTACTCTACTGTTAATGGGATTTTTAAAAAATTATAACTCCCCTAGATAGTAGAATGTAGACTGTAGCCATATGATAGCTGAGATTGACTTTGAGAGAGACGATTGTAAAGTTAAGGTCAGGAGCTCTTAATAAGTTGATGGGTAGAAGCCAGATCTGCAAGTTGGTCTGTAACAAGAAGACTGGCAGCTCCTAGATGCCAAGTAGGTTGGGCGGCTGAATCCGTATCCACAGCCTGAGGAAGAGAAGCCACAGCCTCTATAACTGAGGGGTCTGAAGCCACTGGATCTACAGCCCAGGGAGTAGCGGCTCCTTGATCCATAGCCCAGGGAGTGGCAGCTGCTGGACCCAAAGCCCAGAGATCCAGAGTAAGTCGTCTGCCAGGGACTGCAGAGCAAGGAGGTCCTTGGGCGGTAGCAGGACGTCTGGCAGGGACTGGACACCACATAGGACGTCTGGCAGCTGATGGGCTCATGGCAGATCTCCTGACAGCCACTGTAGAGAGAGGAGCCCAGCTGGCAGGTGCTGGGGGAGCAGAAGTCAGTGCTGTAGACCAGGTTGCTGGGGAAGGAAGAGCCACAGGAGATACCCGGGTAACGCAGGTAGCCCCCAAAGGAGCGAGAGGAGAAGTTTCCAGAGCAGCCATTGTAGGACATGTTGATGGGAGAGATGAGTTCAAATGAGTTACACTGAGAAGATGCTCTGATACCCCTACCTGTGCCCAGTGATGTTTATATACCCTCACTCTGTTGGGTGTGATGCAATAACAGAGACCCTGCCTATTGTTCATGAAATGACTAATTAACCCAGGCTATAATTATAATTGAACACATTCATTTGTTCTTAACACCAGTTTAATCATTCTGGTTTATAGAAGCCATTCAGCTTCTTTCTTTCTCTCTTTCTTTCTCTTTTTTCAGATGTAAGGTGTGGTTTGCTTTCAAAAACATTTGTCATGATGCATGTAGTGCCCCCGCCCTTTCATTGAGCTTGACTGTGGGTATTCTGAGCATGAGTGTGTAAATTCTGACCAGCAACGTACTCCTAATAGTCATCAGTACCCACCCATCCCCAACTATTTACATATGTGTTATTGAGCATTTATTATGTGTGAAACATCTTAAAATGTGGTATGATTTACACTTCAACAATCTTATGAGATAAGAATTGTTATAAACAATTTAGGAATGAGGCTGTGGAGGCTTGGAGAAGTTATGTAACCTTTAGGTAACAGATCAAACAAGTCATGGACCCCATGTCATAATCCAGGTATGCCCGTCCCTAACGCTAGCAGGGACCACAATACTACATAGTCAAATTGAGAGGCTTATTATTTCTGCTCCCAGAACAACATGAACAATTGAGTATGCAGGTGAAAAAAAATAACATTTCAAGGTGATAATATTTGCCTTTCATCTGATATATCTACCTGAGTATTCTTATCCCTTTTATGAAGTCCTCAAAGATAGCCACCGCCGGGACAGCTTCTTAATCATTTTTGGTTATTTATTTTTTTAGCATTCAAAGTTACCATGGAGATGTTCATCACATATCTTCTATTTGCCCTTTCATTCAGCTTATCATTGTTAAGCAACTCATGTTTTAACCACCATGGAGTTATTGGATTCTTCTTCAGTGTGAGGCAGAAAATTCTTTGGCAAACACTTAGACTATCAATGGGAATAATTGCTAAAAACTGGTATACCTTCAGTGAGTTGACTACCAATGAAATACATTTGCAAAAACTTGAATTTTAATAATGTGCTAACCTTTGCCAACTCAGTTGGGAGTGAGAAATTTGACACCTTTGAGAGTGATTCATTTCACTTCCCGATGAGCTTCTCTTTTGCTCATTCTTCTAGAAAGACAAAGCAGCATAAAACTTACCTACATATTAAGTAGTTAAAACTATCGTTAACACTATAAAAAAATCAATGGCATAAAGAAAAGTCCTGGAATTAGAGATATCTTCTTTTTCACTTATTAGCATATCCCACTTCTGCCTTAAAGCATCTTTTAGAAATTGGAAAGCAAAAAGCTATTTATGTAATTTGATCTTTTGAAACTATTTTGCAGCTGATTGTTTTTTCTCATCTCCTGTAGATTTGCATATCTGGCACCAGTGGAATATTCTGCCCATTTTTTTGCTTACAAATTTCTACTAAATGTGTCGTTCCCCTCTTTTTTTCCCATTGCTCCAAATCCTTCTGTGAAAGTTGATGGTACCAAAATAGAGTCATTTCTGTCAAACTCCAACAAAATGGAGTTAGGGAGGCAGTGAACAAGGAAGCCTCACACATATGCTTGTAACACGACTTATCAGGAGAACTTGGTCACAGTTGCAGTACTTTCCATGAGCTGCTTGTAGGACACTTACCTAGCATGCAGCTGTCTCCTGCAATGAGCTTGTGACCAATGAACCTTGTTCCAAAGTAGCCTACATGGACCTCTCTTTGTCTTCATAAGCTTCCCCTTTGCCCGAGCCCCCAGATATGACTATGATCCATCACAGCACAATATCCTGGACTGAAACTTTCTGCTATTCCCAAATAAACTCATTTGTTCTGGAAAGCCTGTCTCTCTGAGTTTCTTTTTAGGTTGACACTTCTCATCCCTCAAGGCCAAAATCAAACTCCTCATTTCTGGCAGGTGTTCACTTCGACTAGGCTTTAACTCTTCAGAGACAAGGATCTCAGTATTTTATAAGCTGGTCCGTTTGAGTGAGTACACACACACACACACACACACACACACACGCACGCACACAGAGTGGAAGAATTGAAAGCGATGTCTTTTGAAGTGGGTCATGCAGGGTGAGTAGGATTTCAGCTTGCAGGGCAGTCACAGGTGTGAGAAGAGTGCAGTACCCAGAAGTTCTGCAGGGTCGGAGATGGTGTTTAGTCTTCTTTGACTCAGTGTTTGGCACATCATAGTAGGTGCTCATCAATTATTTATAATATGAATAAATATAACAAATCATTAGCTTCTTTATTTTTACTTACATCCTGAATAAATTTATGCACGTAGGCATAATTTTTTTAAGTTAACTTTAATGAAATGTTAAAAGAATGTAAACATCTCTTTCATAATTAAATCTAGACCCCAAGTTAATCATAACCAGGAAGCCAGGTTGTGTTAAACTAGTGAGCCACCTAGAATGTGGAGAGGAGGTTAGAAATTACGGTTTTAGTAAAGGCATTTCCTAAATAATTTTATAGTCCTCGTATGTGAATGTGTGCTTGTTGTCTTCCCGTTACGCAAAGCAATGGGATCAAAGAAATCATAATTGGAAAGAGGTGGTCAATTAGCTTAGCCGGAAGTCTGGGTACAACTTGACATTGCAGCAGTATCTTAATTATGGTTTCTCCCCATTATCCTGAGGATACTAAATCCACACACACTAGCCAGACATTTCCCTTAGCTCTAATTCTCCATCATGATCAGCCGTATACCAATTTCCTGAATCACTGTGGCATCAGAGTGTTTTAATTAGTTTTCCTCCATTCCTGTAGGCAAATAGTATTATTTTATTCAGGAGATGTCAAACCGTGTACTGTAGCTACTATTAATCTCAGTTATTTTACAATTTCTATATCTTTATTCCTTTTAGAATGTTGAATGCTATTCTAAAAATATATATCATTACAATTAAAAAAATTAAAATTTGCCATATATTTGATTCAAGGCTATACAAGAGGTTTACATTTGGAGAGCCATTTCCTTATTAAATAAATTAGAAAACATCCATGTGAGAATTTTAACACATTTGAATATATTTATTATGGGTGTGAATATATACATACATATGTCCACAAACTTTGAGATAGGTCAAATTCTATGTTTATATACTTAATAAATTAGGACATTTTGCCAAAATGCTTTGCGTCACATCGTGTCACCTTTTTGTTAAGCTGTATTGGTCTGAAAGTGCTTTCTTGGGTTCCACACTAATGCTTCACCACATGTTTATGACCTGGCTGAAGGAGTTATAAGCATGGCACAATAATTTGTCCTGTGAGGAAACCATGTCATGCAGACAGAAAGCTGTGACCTTGGGATTGGAATGCCGGTCTCTGGCTCTCTGGTCCAAGGCTCTCTTCACATAAGCCTCAGGAGAACGGCTTATACTCTCTTCACTTTGTATTTCCATAAACACAGCCCTCTCTCATGAATCTTGTATTTGTACATATTCTTGCAAGTAGGTTTCCCTGATTTCCTATTTTGAATGTCTCATTTGAAATGCTGTATCTTCCTCACTCAGACTATATCAATATGTTCATTTTAAAAGATAAAATCTCTCAAAAAAATTTTTAGTACTTGGGGTGATCCTTGGGGATCCTCATCCCTACCCCAAGCAAAATTACCTTTAGAGCTTTCCTCAATTATTATTTCCTTTTCTTTCCAATTGCTTCATTCTCATCCATTCTAATGGTTCTTTTTTCTCAGCCTTATTAAACATGCTCAATCTCCTCCTCAATCCCAAAATTTTATTGGATGTTGGGCAGGGGCAAGGGGGGAGGGGGGAGGAAGGAGGAGGGAGGAGGGGACGGGTATATGCATATACAAAGAGTGCAATGCGCACCACCCGAAGGATGGACATATGTGAAACTCGGACTTGAGGGGGAGGGGGGGCAGGGGCAACATACATAACCTAAACATCTGTACCCCCATAATATGCTGAAATAAAAAAAAATTTTAAATAGAACCATTTCCTCCATTGTTATGAATATATAGCTCTTCTTATTTTGTGAGTAAGAATTCTCTGGAGTTGTGCAGCTTGTCAACTGTCTCACTTCTTTTCAATAACCATCTTGCTACTGTCTGATTTAACATTCTTCTGAAATTGCTCTAACCTGGTCAGCAGTGGCCTTGATTTTGCCAAATACAATGTACATTTTTAGGATGATCCCATGCAAATGTTTAACCACATTCAACACAGGTGACTGTGTCCTTAATCTTGAAACATGTTCAGTCATGCACTTCCATGACATCATAGTCCTGCCTTCTATTTAACTTTGACCTAACTCCTTGTTCCCCTTAGTTGGATTCCTGTTCACAATGTTCCTTAAGATTTGGTGCCAGTCTCTGGACATATTCTCTCTGTAGAGGAGGCACTTCCCCTCCATGGCTTAAAATATTATCCATTTTCTGTGACATTCAAATACTCAAGTTTATATTTTCAGTCTATACTTTTTTAAATTTTATAGCTAGACATCCAATTACTTCTTGCCATTTCCATTTGGAGATTTCATAAGGGTAACAAACTTTTATGTATATGACACTAAACTTTAGCTCTTCCATAAGAAACTAAAAAACATTTTTTCATCTTAATAAGCAGCATTTCCACCCACCTAACTGTTTAACATAGAAACCTTGGAATCCTAGCATATGCAATCTATCCTAAACATCATCCGTTCTATTTTCCAGATTCATCTTACTTCTATCCGCTCCTCTTATTGCCTTCCATCTAGTCCAAAATATTCCACCCTTGGACCATAGGCATTTGGGCCCAGATACTTTGTTGTGGAGCATTATCCTGTGCATCGTAAGATATCTGGCAATATCCTTGTCCCCTACCCACTAGATGCCAGTAGCACACCTCCTCCTTCGAATTACGGGAATTAAGAATGTCTCCAAAAATTGTCTGGGAGGAGGG